CGTGCTCTCGACAGGCGGGGGTCTGTTAGGTGAGGCCAGCGGCACAGAGACGATTCGTTTGCCCCTTCTGCCCCCTGCACAGGCGCTCGTTCCCCCGCGCAGGGACGCGGCGTGTTGCCCACCCGCCGCTGCGGCTTTGAAGCTCGCGGTCCGCGGCGAGGTTCTCCTTAAAAACCCCCTCGCCTTGTGCCCGGCGAAGCGAAAACCATCCCGCCACTAAACTTGCCAAAGCGGCACAAAACGCAGCTTTCACCCGAGATACCAATTTCACCAGCGTGAACCTTGTCGTTTATACATCGTTCATTTTTAATATGTACCCTCCGAAGACAGAAGCGCTTGTACAGCAATCGTGTCGGCTGAGGTACGTGGAAAAAAAAGGCTTTAAGATGGATGTTTTCAGAGTGATGCCCGCTCCAAGGCCAGTAAAAGGCTTTGCTGCTGCGTGGCCGGTGGATCTGCTGCCGAGAGGAGTCCGAGAGGGGATTTGCAGGAGCCAGAGCGGAAACTTCAGCCCCAAAGGCTGGCTGGAGGCGTTCACTGCACTGGGAAAAAAACCCCAAATCTTATTTACATCGTCTGTTAACACTGATCAGTGCTTAAAGCATAAAGGATGCGGAATCTGACAGTGTCATGGAAGTTTAATGCTATCAACTGAAATATAATTAACGGCCAATTATTTCAGCGTGAGTGGTAGTTTTTGTCAATTAGTCCGGGAAATGTTGAAATGGCGTTAATCTCAGCGCTGCCCGCTTGCAGCGATGGGGCTGGGATGAGCCGGCGTGCGGCAGGGCTCAGCAGCACGGGGCGATGCCTCCTTCCCCCCCGGGGGGTCAGGAATGGCGTCTGGCAGACAACCCCCCAGAAATGGGGAAAAAGAAGAGGGCAGAAATAAAAAGGGGCCAAAATGCTTGGGAAAACGCTCTGTGGGAGCTTTTTGCACCGGGTTTGTCGCCTTTGGGAAGCGATTCCTAACAACAAACGTAACTTTGCACCCCAACGTATCAGTGCTTTCAAGGCTGAACTGCAAAGAAATTTTTAAAAATTAATCTGTTTTCCAGCCTGTATTTTTGCATCGTGCTGGGGGTGCGCGTGGAGCCCCTCATGCGGGGTCCTGAGCCCCGGTCCCCGTCGGAGAGGGCTCGCCTCAAGCCATGTACAGCTCCTG